GTACTTTCTCTATTATGGTTTCTCTACTACTTCTCAGTACAATTGCCTTCTGGAGGTGAAAGCATTCTCGCCACGCATAAAGCCTTGTCAATCTTCTTTCCTAAAGCAGATACAAGAAAGACTTAAATGATTAGTAATATTAGCAGATCTCATATATCGCAAAAACCACTATGAGAATGACTTTTTTTGGAGCATCAAACACCAAATACATGAGCTTGCATATTAATTTATGACTATTCATTTGTCATTCATTGACACAAATTAATCTGAGATAGAAATTGTTAAACTCATCTGAATGACATAAAATCCCAAAACTTATTTTAAAAAATGTGTAATTTCAGATATCGGATGAAAATAAAATGTCCGACAAGAGATCTGCTGCAAATGCCAACTATCGATCAATCAATCATTCTTCTAATGCGCAGCGATGATAGGTGCTGAATGATTCAGACGAAGAGTACTTTGCAAAAATCACTTACAATTTGCTCGACTGATGCAGTTATGAACTCAAGTTGCGATTAATTTTGCGAATATTTAGATTAACCACTTCAAAACTAAGCATGCATCATTACCACGGAAGGAAAGTACTCGTTAATTTGGTTTCGTATGCTTTAAAAGGTGAAGCTTCAGTGAAATGAGCATTCATAGAACGGAGTAAGAGATTGAAATGCTTGACGGAATGTAATTAGAAGACTTGGCAAGGGTGAAAACAGTCTAAAAAATATGATTGGACTGTTTTAAAATTGTAAGTGAAGAATGACGTATAAGAGAATCATGAAGATATCTGCAATGCATCAACGAAACACTCTGTTCCAATTTGAGTAATGGCTCTTTCATTTACATGTGGAGAAGGCTGTCTTCGTGAAATGCGTCTAAATTTTTTTGCATGAAAAACAGAACAGAAAGTACCAGCCCCGCCGTTCTACTAAAAATCTTGACACAAACACATGACTATCGAATGTTTGCACTGAAATTTTAGCCCGTGGATGTGATGTTATCAGTAGCGAAAAGTGAATTCTGTATCACGCATGCACAACTTGTCATTATTAGTGCTGTCAAAGGCATCACTATCAAGTTCAAATGTTTCAGAACTGTCATTACTGACATACTTACGTCATTATTATCAGTTCAAAACTTAATGCTATGTCTTTTGGTGAGCGTTTGCAGAGGGTGCTTAGATGAATACCTTCCCCCATAGTATAACTGATACATTAATCTTGCCAAGTGTAATGTGTTGAGTAGGAATAACTTTGCAAGCATTGTCTTTACACAAATTAACTTTAATCTTGGCAAGGTTATGACTTAGATATTATCATATCCAGTAATACAAATCATGTCAACATCTCGCTTGTTGTAACAAAATTGGCACAAAAATTGATGACTAGAAAAGTAGGCATAATAAGTTCCAAAGCTAACACAAACCTCCCTAACTTCAAACATTATTTATACCGCCAGCAATTTCCAACAATCGTGTTATCATCAGTTTCCAAGCCTCGTGCTAATTTCTAAATCCTGTATTTATTCAAGAATATCATGAACAAAGTACAGAACTACTCCCCCAAGATGCATTAAAATGAGAACGACCGTAACATTCAGCGAGATTTGCTGCAATGGTACTTCTATTCCATTTAGTCACACAATAGCAAGATTTGATGAAGACTTACAAAGGCAAGCTGAGATTCATCTTGTGCACGTTCGTATGAGAATCATGCTCCAACAAGTGTCATTACAACTATATAAATAAAAAAGAAATATTATTCGTTACTCGTTCGTCGTATGAAAAATAGAAGAAATCACAAGTAAGCATAACATGAGTCATCCCGTTATGAAAAAAGATTTCGAATATGATTGAGTTAGCAAAATTATATGTTAAAAACCAATGTCTTTGTAAAGAATATAAATTCCCAATTTTAACAGCTTTATTAAATGCCTTTAGGAGCATCAGATGTAGCGAAAATATAATACAAATATGTATGGGACGAAAGTAATCTGTGGATATGTACAAATACTTTATATCAACACATACAAATTATAAAGCTTATACGAAATGCTCAATATATGCACGACTTATTTCTATACAATGCTTTTCACTTAAGTCATTATCTCCACAATATTATGTAATAAAAGTGACAATACAACAAAATAATATAGACTTATCAGTCTCAACATTCCTTACATCAGCGAGAAGCTAGATGTATTAGGAGAAAAAGATATCTTGTACTAAGCACATTTAATACACAGAATAAAAAAATTATTAAATGAATTCATGTCAGCCTATGGTTAACTGAAATGTAACAAATTCTCAGACTGAGAAAACAGATCCTACTGATATACAAGATACCTAAAAACTTAAACCAGTCACTGGCTCCTTTTTTATCTTCAGTTTCCTTTAACCTATTTCCTTCAAGGAACTGTTCATTTTCTATTCATTTTTTATGCAGATACATTTTATTACTAAACATTCAAAGAGTACTATAAAGGTTGAGATTAACTAATTTATATTTTATTCACTACTTATTTTTCAGACAAAACAGATTCTATATAGGTAACATAATCAACATGCATCTTGAATTAATTACATAAAGCTGATATTGTGATAAATTAGATAAAATACATAATTTATTTAGTGCTTAAATTTTTCAACATTTCCGAAATACGTGCGAGAAACTGAGATGGGTGATCATGTTTTGCGTCATCGAGAACATATCGAAAATCATGTAATGAAATAGGACGTGAAGAAATAGTCGCAAAATGTCGGAGTATTTCTTCTAGATCCTTTAATGATGCACTTAATTTCAACGGCATTGTAATATCATCTGAATCGTCATAGAAATTATCGTTATGTCGTACAATGTACCAGCCATCTTCTTCCTAAAGTTTCAATACTATAGATTGCAACTGTTCACGGGTAAGAATTGGACAAAAACTTGCTTGCTTGAGTTATTACGAGCTGCATCAAATATAAAATATGTGACGATTAAAACAAAACAGAAGAAATAATTACTGCTCTTTCACGTTCTGCCCAAGAAATTTGTCTTAAATCTTTATCAAACGCTGCGGCCAAATCATTTGTTAATGTACCATGTCCTATCTGTAAATTAAATGATTTATTAAGAAAGAATGGAAGAAACTTAAAGAATTTCAAACCTAATATTTTATTACAATAAAGCAACATTAACCCTTATAATACTGATAATTTATTTACTTATCAAATGTTCAACTAGCGAAATACTTTCTTGCTATCTTCTGAAAATATAAACTCTGCATGATGTGCAAATGATGCAAAAAAAATTTACAGATGATTTCAAGATATCATAGAAAACTTAAAGATGACAAATCATTGAAAAAAAAAAACCTTTAAAACTGAATTGGGATTATCTACAATATTCTTAAGTTGTAGAAGATTGGCAAATGGATTGAGTGGATCTATTAGTGCTGGATCAACTCCTGTGCTCAAACACAATATAACAACTGCATGATTTAACTTGAAAATATCTGTATCGAATAAGCTTTCTGTCCATTTTCTCCATGATGAGAATTCTTGAAACGATATCTAAAATTCTATGTATTCTTGCTAGAAATCCATGCTTTCAGCAAAGATAAAACAGGGATTTATGAAAAGAATCTTTAACTCTGCAATTTTGCTTAAACCAGTCATAAAGAACTTTATAAATCTTAAAAGAAAGAAACTTTGAAGTACACTTTAAACAAATAACAATAAATTAAAAACAAAACCTCTCCAGGTATACAAATATCAAAATGCACTGTAAGTAAATTGATTAGCTGGATAGTATAAACAAGTGCAGCAAACATATTATGCACCGGTCTCGCACTCCGTGCAGGTAGAATACCGATGCTTAACCATTCTTTCATAAATTTATATTGAGTTCGATCTGGAGCGTCACAGCCACAAACCTCAAACATTACGAAAGAATTTCTCAGCAAATATGATAATCACAATGAGATTGGGTTCATTTTCTGCTTCCTTTTTCATATGCTACCCACGAACAGAAATCTCCAGTAAAATTTTAAGGTACTTATTTATGGATTACCTCCTTACTCTAACTAATTTATCTTACATGAATGAAGAAATTACTGTATAAGAGAAACTAGAAGCAGAACTATTTTGCACTGGATATAGTGTAGCCCAGGTTTTTTCTGCGACTGGAGCAATCTCTTCTTGACTAAAAAAACTTCATTAAATTAATTACATTCTATTCAACATAACATGAAGGAAGAAATATCTAATAATATATTTTAAAACTAAGATTAATAAAATAAAAAAATCTCATTACCATGTTTCAGCAAGCAGTTCCTGGTAATCCCTTTCTTTTTCGTCAGTAACTACCTCTGTTTTCGAAACTTGCTGCACAAAAAAAAATTTAAAAAACCACTGCGCATTGAATTTCATCATTTTCCCTAACTGAAAGTACTTTTCATCTTTAATGCAAGAGAATACAGTATAAATTAAGAAAATCGTGGTAGAAAAAGTATAAAATCTAGCTGCAAACATTATTTTCAATGTTTAGAAGTACACCAAAAGAAGAGGAATCTACTATAAGACATGATAGCAGCGCAAAAGAATAAAGATTCACAAATTATGGCAATACTTTTAAAAAACATGAGTTTCGAATGAAATTTTAAAACGCTACCTGCCTTTTACATTCGTTAACTTCAATTTCTAGTAAGCTTGGCGGCTGAGAAAAAACTTCCTCATGCTTTTCACACATCACCTAAATCAACAATTATACATGAACAATTTAACATGAAAGACTGTAACTCTGTGAGACTCAGTTATTATTCAAATAATTTTTTCCAATCCTTATATTTCAGCGGTCATAAACAATTTAAAAAAGTTGCACAAAAAAACACGCAAATAAAAAAAAAACCCGCAGCTCCTCAATCGTTTTCATATTCTTTTCACTCTCTCTGCAAGCAATTTCAAGATCAGCTCTTTTGTCATCCAAAAATTTCCTCTTATTAATGATATCCTCCTTCAATAAGGCAATAGATTCAAGTGTTGAGTGTAACTTCTTCTCAAGGGCTTCCTAGAATACACCATGAAAATTAACGACAATACTGCTGATTTGAGCTAACAGAAACTAACAAAAAGCTCCTAAATCATCCTTCATACTTTAAGGTAGAAAGCATTATTTCGAACTAACTTCTGCGGACAAAAAGCATTTAATTTCGCGTAGGAGATGTTTTCTTTCATTCTTCCTTTTCTTGATCATACTCTGTTTACTATCAAATTTGACTGCAATTAAATCAATATCTTGATCATTGACTCAACATAATTTTCTAGATGGTTACAGATATGTATCACATAAATGTTATATTTTCAAGAAATGTTTTCCTAATAACATCATAAAAGAATTTAACATCGTTTGAGCTAATTTCCAGAGCTCAAGATAGATATGAGTAACCTGCAATTGATCTTTAAAAAACATTAATCATTCAGACTTCCAAGTGTTCAATAAATCGCTTCCAAAAATGAAAGCAACTAAAAAATGAAAAACTAATTCCAAAAATAAAGATAACTGAAACTAATTTGCTTTTTATAATATAAATATTATCAAATAAAAATACCATTACTATAACAAAAAAGTCCCTGACAGATTTATATATTGCCAAAAATAAAAACTAGAACTTTAAAAACAAACTTTTAAGATTTATACATTTCATACACAAGCACAATTTTCTAGCATTACATGCTGAACAAGCATATTTTTCATTCCTCCAATCTATCTGGTAGCTGCAAAAAACTTATGAGAATAACAATGTGCATGAAGAGTTACTTACGCTCATATATCAAAGAAATTAAAACACACACAAATACACAAAATAATGAATGAAGGATGGTTTGTATGACTTTCGGTAAATATAAATGCGTAATTCAAAAAAAGGTGTTACCAATTTTTTGTATGCGAACTGCATGTCCCAACACATGCACACATACCAAATGAAGAGGTATGCTCCAAAGCTGTTGCGACTATACCTGTCGAATCATTAGTGCCTGCAAACATTTTCTCGTTAGTTACTGTTTCAATGATTTAAGAGCAAATAACATCTTTTTAGGAAATATGACCTCTTTACAAACATCAAAATTCGCGAATTACAATTTGAAAGATTTTTAAGACAATATGCTTAAGAATTCTTCGAATTGTAATTTCAATTTTTTGAATTGAAACAAAAATATTTGGATCTTTATTTACACACAAAATAACTGAATACATGAAAAATGATATAAAATGGTAGACTTTAAGTTTGCAAATGGAAATGGTCATAATTTATCCACCCCATTTCAAACACATTACATAATAGTAAACTGTCATCTATTCTTGCTACATAATTAAACTCTTACTAATATTTTGAGCATTCGCTATCCACATATTTCTGTTATACGATGCCATTTCTAGAAAATCACTGAAACTGCTAGTCTTGAACACTGAATCAGTTGGTAATTTTGAACTGGACTGATTTATCACAGATTCTGAACATCAGTGGCTTTTATTAGATGCAGTGATCCATTCACTTCCACGAATTCTAATTTCGAAAAGTTCACTTTGATAGATTGTTAGACTGAAACAAAAAAAACTGTGAAAATTAGTCTTTTTGAAATTCGTAACTAACATACCATCACGTGCAATAATGAATACTCCTCATTAAGCTTAGACTCCCCACTAATCGATGAAGTTTAAATTAGACGAAAGTATTAGAAATGTTGAAAAAAAACACGCGTTCAGGTGTATGACAAAATCCAGTTGACCTTACGCAATGTCATAGTACCACATGTTTCTGAATTCTTTGGAGTTATAAGAGTACATTGGCATTTTGCCAATTTCCGTTGAAGAAAAATAATATTTCTATACTATTGGCTCATATGTATGTGCTATTATTTACTTATTTCCATGATTACTCGGTTATTTGTTGATTGCTTATTTGTTACTTGACGTACTGTGTGTCACGTATCACGCTAATCTCATGAGCAAGGCATACTAGATTGGGTTCATACTCTTTCGGGCACATAATGCCATAATATCTCTGTAGTTCTTCTCATTCATTCATTCATTCATTCCGTCATCAGAATCACTTCAGTTCTCAACTCGTCTGTTATATTTTTTTATGTTCATAACATTTTCAGATTAAGTTGTGCAGCAACAACAGAATTGATGGAAGCGCCATCGAGTTTGTCAAAAGTGTTGTTAATGGGCGACATAAACGACTATTTATTGAATTCATTGCTCGGTAAGAGTAAATATTTTGTATGCAAATAAGTATTGATGATAAAATTGAATGATAAGAGAGATTTAGATGAAATGTGAGTGCTTTTTTCAGTACAAATAAACACACTAATATTTCTTTGCAATTTGCCAGTAATACTGCAACTTTTTGTTATTTGCAAAATTATATTGAAAGTTAAGTTGCACGTGAAAATAGTTTTAATATCTAAAAGCATTTATAAGTGTGTTTTTTTATTTTGAAGCATGTTACGTTGTAGCAAACGAGAGTGCAGAACGAAAGCAAAAAAGGGAATTGCTACTTGATACGAAGTATTATCAGGTGACTGTTAAGTTGATATCATTGAGAACAGTTATGAGCATCGATGAGTGGCGTACTTCGAGATCAAATGTTGATGTCGGTGCAGTTATATACAACTGGGCTGGTGTATTTACTTCTTTACAACAGCTAAAGCAACAATTTTCAGATTGGATTACAGATATTCAGGTACCACTAAATATAAAAATAAAGTGTTTTTTCTTGAGTTCAGAAATTTCTATATTCAGTGTTTGCATAGATTTCTGTGGATTTAGATATATTGCATTATAATAGCAAAAAATATTCATTGTAATTATTGTTTAATATAGTACTGGGTTTCGAGAATTAATAAATTTATCAATATTTTAAACAGGTTGTTGTCTGTGATCGTTCTGATCACTTGTTAGAGTGGTCAGAAGATTTGTGTCGTTTTTGCGCTAGTAAACGGATTGAATTGGTGGAACTTGATCCAGACCTTGTAAGTTGTCTTACTGAATTTGAATCTGCTGTATGAGGTTTCCTCGAACTCGCAGTTATTTTCAAGCATAATTTTGTTCTTTTATAATCCAATAACGCAAGTAGAGCTGAAATGGATATTATTACTGTTTCTTAATTGACATTTATCTTCGTCATTTGGAATCACTAAGCTTTTCAGGAAACTGTAAAAGATTTAAACGAATGTCGCGAACTTTATGGTATATCTCGGATAAGGGAGGTTCGGATCTTGTTTATCATATCACTAGTCAATGACTGAAGTAGTTCTTTTATTTGTATGACTCTTTGTGGTTTTCAAAGCCAGAGTTTCTATAAGTAGTTGGACTACATAATATAAGTATCTTCTGTGATGGTGCTTTACTTTTAAAATGTTGTCTGATTATTTAAGAACTAGCAAAATTTTACTAGACTAAAATGCTACAACTTTTCAACACATTATCAATAATATTTTCAGATATTGGAAGCTGGGGATTGGAAAAACAAAATCATTAAGAAAAATCCTTTCACTTCACAGGAACATGTGGATGCTAAAATTTCCAGTGTGTTTACTGACAATGTCTTGTCGCGATTTCTCGTAAATTCTCTCAAAGATGTTGGATCTGATTGCTCCTCTGTTACAGACAAAGACAAAGGCTCGTACTTTAATACGTAATGTCAGTTCATTTTGAGAAATTTGAATGCGAAAATCAGAGATGTGATAAGATGTACAGCAGAAAATTGTTCAATTCATGAATTTGTTTCGAATAAACTTCATATTGAATTTAATCTTATGGCAAAGATAGTTATGTTTTACGACGGCAAAAATAAAAATACTCAAAACTTATCCTCAGTAATAAAATCTTGGAGTTATTTTTAAACATTATCTTCATTCAAGTATTTTGCTTATAGAGGTGATTCTGAAGTCCTTTGGAAGATCAAATATATCTTTTGATAGCTTAGTAAAGCATTCAGATATTCCGGATTCCGAAGTAATGGAATATTTCAAGGAGGAAACAGAAAAACTTAGTCGGCAAGATAACATGGTTGTAAAAGTTAGTCTGTTATTAAAATTTTCACTTTACTAAAATTATAAATTTTAACTTTTGTCAATCGTTTCTTTAAAATTGTGTTACTTAAGATGCCTCCAATGTTTTCAAAGAGATGTCAAACAAATGAAAATTAATCCATAATTTTAACCTCAAAACAATTCCAAAGCAAAAAAATCATGTTTCAAGAAGAGAAAAAATAAAAAAAAGTCGAAACCCATCAACAATGTCGAATTCGATGGATCTGTTGGAGAAAACAGTTCAAAGACGACAAATGCAATAAAGCATAACTCGAAATCTGACGCTGATAACCTCAGGCATATCAAAAAAAAGGTGTGTGGAAATGGTGAAACGAAATGTGTACCGAAATCGGATGAAAAGTGTAGTGAACATTACTTATTCGATGCTAAAAAAGATAATGTACGCGATTCGAGTGAAATGACTCGATCGGTAATTGATGGGTTGTTCAGTCAGCCTGTTAACGAAGAAGTAACAAATTTGGCAAGCAAAATCGATGAGGTTATTTTATCTAACTTTAAATGTTTTTCATTTCTTTGATAGAAATGTTTCAAAAACAATATTGAAAATTTGGAGTTAAAAGTTCATACTAAGGAATTGAAATGGTAATTATTTAATGCTTGTTTTTAGGAATGAAAGGATCCTCCATAATCGGTATTAGTGAGAAAAATCTCCTGTATATTATCTGCTAATTTTATATTGCACCTGATGTTCGTATTTTCTTTCTAATTCTGATAAGATTGAAATGTTTCCAAATAGAGGATGGCTGTTTATTAAGTATTACCTAAATGATGTCATTCAAACCCTCTTTTTTCTCTTTAGACACGATCAACTTTGCTGAAAATGCCGTTCGGACCGGAACGACAAAATTTAGCAGCAGATACAATGATGGCGGTTATGGATTCTATTGGTGATAATGAACTTTTCATTAGCTCTTCCGATGATGAATCAATCACCTAGTAAGGTTTCTAAAGATGTGCGAGCGTTCAGTCGGGCATAATGAAGTGAACTCAGTCTTATGTCTTTATGCACTTTTTTTTTCAAATTCGCTTATGCAGTAATGCTACCATGAAATATAAGTTACCAGAATATGCAAAAACAAAACAAACATTCAGAAACATTCAAAAAATCAAATAAATGTAGTATCGGTGGGTGGTAAGTGATAAAATGCAAGCGTGGTATGGGCTCATTTCATTGATTAGTTAGAGTGAATTCTTTCAAGAAGCATCAAGGAAATGTACCGAATATAAAAAAGGAATGCAGGTTAGAAACGCAAGTTATATCATTAATGATACTTTTTGATAATTTAAAATCCTACTGTCTTTAATTTGCCAAAAATAGAAAATTTTCATCTTATATTTAGATTCTTTCCACGCTATGTTCTAATTTGAACAAAGTTCAATGTATTATACAAAATATAAGTTATATTGCATTGTCTTTTGTAAATACTTTCAAGAATGACATGTTGGCTGTGTATCAGATGCTTTTTCAAATATTTCTTTATTCTGTTTATCAACGACATAAGCTTCGCTCATGCATTTGTCTTAAATTATTTGCATAATTCCGTATCCATCAATATTTTTATCTCTTTATATCGGGAGCTGATGAGATGTATTGACATTTTAAATTCTATACTTGACATTCTTCTGTCACACTTTATCTCGTAATGAAGAACATGTATGAAGTAATGACTGCTGAAATTTGTGCTGACTTTAAATTTGCTCGCTTTTTTCTGAACTGAAGTGTTTGTGATTACTGCGGTGTGTTGGAATAAGTCAGTTTTGTTTATGCGTATATCACGAATTTTTAAAGGCACAAATGCGTAAAATAAGAGATACAAGACTAATCTAAATGGATTGAACAAAGTAAAATGGTGTTGCATCTTATAATGCTCCGTAACTGTGACAAATACAGAGCGGTAATGTACAACAAACATGCTTTAGATGTATATGGAGCAAATAATGAAAAGGAAACCAATGATTAGATAGAATAGGTGGCTGTACTTGTGCCAAATCATTGTCCATTTTATTTATTTCTACATTGGTGTATGGAAGAGTTTGCGTATGATAATAAGCAAATCTTAATCTCTCAGATCAGAGTAGCTCCAGTTTAGAACTAGTGTACACTTAGAAAAATCCTACTCGAATTTACATCTTAAGAGTTGACTAAACAACTACTCAGATTTATTACAAGCAGAGAGGAAGTGCACAATTTAGATAGAAGGAATCACTTGGTGCTTCAGCCTTGCTAACTATTAGTACAGCATTGTTTAATTAAGAACTTTAAGTCATAGGCAGCTCGGGAGACCGTTACAATGCAATTAGCCATCGATTGTACAGCTGCTACAGATAGGTACTGAAACAGACATTGCTTAGTGTTGAATTATTTTCCAAATAAATTTGATGAAAACATTTCCTTTCTGAAATTATAATCTGACTTACCGTCGTCATTTTATGCAAGACTAAGAATTACAGTCATTTTATCAATTTCAAGTGCTGGAGCAACTCTTAGTCATACAAGCATTTACAGAAGTGTGTACTACAGTGTGCAATTTTTTCAATATATATTAGCGAAGAGAAAAATTGCTGAGCAGAAGTAAAAAACACCTCGTCAGCGGCATGCTTTGTTGCCTGCACGCATGTTTTCAGCACATCCAGCAAGCGATCTGCTGATCGTTTCACCTCATTACTCAGTTCAGCACTGCTAAGGCATTCAGCTATAGTATCAGCCATGTAAATTAATTTATGGGCCGTAAGGATAATCTGAAACTGGAATTGATTGAGAAGAAAATTTGATAAATAGTATTCTGTAAAAAAATGTTAATTAGCAATAGTACTGCTGTTGTAACTAATTTTTCATAATACTATAATTACAGACTTTATTTCATTGACAAACTTGACATCAATCTAATAATGCAATGTTGTTACTGTATAAATAAAATAATAAAGTGAGCACTTTTTATTTGAGATAATGCAGCATTTAAATAATTAAATAGTCAACTAAGAATCAGTTTTTATCAAGTAGGTGACAGTAAAAGAGTATAACTGAATTTGTAAAGTGAATTAAAACTTTGTGTTTTAAATAATTTTATTGAACATATAAAGCACACAAAGATAGAGTCATAAAAAATGTAAAAATTGTTTTTTATAAATTTCATTTTTTTTGTTTATTTCTTGTAATTTTGGACTAAAGTAGATAAATAAACAAATAAATAAATAAAGTGCTTGCCAGTTTTCCTTTTTGAATGAATTCATTTGGTGGCATTTGTTCTTCAATAACAGTTAAGAATTCTTCGATGGCCTTGGATAGAAATTCTGTGTGTGCATCCAACTGAGGAGAATAAAACTCAATTAATTGTTTATCGTCTTGAGGAAGCGATCTGATCACCTATAATAATCACTATATATATATGAGCAGAGAACTAAATCAACAATTAAACTGCCAACTTAATCTTATTTGAAATAATATTTACGTGAAAATAGAATATTTTTTAATTTTTTCTTAAAAAAATTATAACAGAAATTAAAAAATTTATTAATATAATTATTTTTTGAAACAGTAAATATGAAGCATGTTTAACAAAATTTGCATTTATACATCAGCACTTATTTGTGGTGTTAACTGTGGAATGGTCAAAGGTCTCATCATCCGATTTGCTAAATAATCTTCTTGATCAACTGTTGATTCCTACAAAAACAGTGAACTGACCACTTGCATGTCAACAAAAACCAGTTCAATGAATTTTTATATTTTTATGTTTTGTCGACAGCAGCAAAAATATAATTAATTTTACGAATTATCCATTCTACTGGATAAATTAATTTAAAAAGCGTTTTGGAAATTCTTCAAATAATATTACAAAACAGAGATAATAATTATCAAGGAAATGGTATTAACTTATTTCATTATAAAGTAAAAGCGATCAGAAATTAAAACTTTTGCGAACTTTAATTTCAGAGCAATACAATATTTTCAAATAAATGAACTTAAAATTTGAAAAATATCCAAAAATTTTAGTTCGAACAATATTAAAAAACACTGAAATGATTTGAGCAAAATGTCTAGGTTTCTTAATTATCAATTTATACCGTCTGTTCATCTGTTTTTTAGACGACAGCACTGTATATTTAGCACAAAGAATTTTAAGTATCAAAATGAAGGTTCTAAAAAGTGAAAGAATTTTTGCCTGATAAAAGCTTTCTCGATCACTTATAATGGATTCCAAATCGTCTTCTTCTACAACATGACCTTCAAGGGTTAAAGTTGATAATGGATGCGAAACAGAGATGTTATCTGCGAACGTGACACGATTTTGTTTAGCACTTGTGCCAGCGGGACTTAAGCTACCTCGAGAGGCGAGAATCGATGTTGGAGTTTGCATATCATTCATATTTGGTATTGGTGTAGATGAAGCGTTTGATACCGCAGACTGCCTTTTAAAATTCATTTCCGCTAATTGATCATTCATTGGTGCGTCAGATAATCTACAAAAATTAGACTCTCAATCATCTAAAAAATTCAAATTTAGCAACATTGATAACTATTTTTTCAGTGAAAAAACATACGACCGAACGTGAGTTACAAAAATAAAAAGTTCGAATAATAAATATGTAAATCAAGGTTAGAATAAGAAATGTAATGCCTACTTAATAGAGCAGATGTATAGTGCTGAGAAAGTAACTACAAAACAGTCGTCATTAATTGAAAAATTGAATGAAACGAAACTGTTTTCAGCTTTATATTTATTAAATAATGGAAGGCTACCTTAATGAGAGACCATCTGCTTGACGACTATATATGCCTCCAGAAGAGCAATCAGAATCTTTAAAGCCCGTGGTCAGAAATCGAGCACCTGATGATGGCACCAGCAATAACACCCATTGTATCAGCTTATAACAATCTGTTGGTAACTGAAATGATTTATTATTGCAGTAAATCATTACTTTTCTTGATTATCTGTTGACTTTAATATCACTTAAATCATTAATCAGTAAATGATTATGACTAAATTTTCATTATGAAAATCTTGAACTGAGACCTGTTTGATAACAGCAAGAAACTGATCCAAAGCATCGCTTCCTTGTGCTGTTCCATATGGGTTTTGTGGTCTTGATAAAACAGCTAATATCCATCCAGTAGCATCCAAATTTTGCTTCAGTTGAGTTATTATTGTACTCGAATTCTTCAGTGGGGTCAACAACTGCTTCAGTTCTGAGAATGCATTAATTATCAAGACTTGAACTATAACAAGTAAACTTTTTTATTGCTCATTTTTGTAGACTATACTTGTATTATCATGAAATAATAACCAAACATTTAATGCTTTATACTCTCAAAGTAAAACATATTAATGCTATAAAATTGGTTTTTTTATTTTTTTGCATAAAATTATATTTTAACTTTTCACATTGGAGTTGTATTTATTTTGAAATTGCATATAAGTGAATTTTCCACATAAATCTCTCTTATAATGCAGTTTTTAGTAATACTTTGCATTCTCCGGCATTGATATACATTTTGATGTATTCAAAAATTCAGTTATGACAATTTAAAAGAGATAAGCTGAAGTACAGTAAAACTGAGCATTTACTGTGAAACAACAAAAATGCAACAATTAAATCCAAAATATATTAAACTATCTAAATAAATTAAAAAATTAATCTAAATAATTTTCAAGGCTTTAATAATCGTTAAATCTTGGCGAAAAATAATAAATCAAAACCTTCTCCCTTGCGATTGTTTGCTTCAATTGCAATGCGACTTGCTGCGTCTAAGAAAGCACTCATGCAAGTGACAATCATCGCTACATTTTCTTTTATATTTAAAATATTTTGTTGCAGAATGTGCGGTTGTCGCCATGCGCGTGCTGCTGTATGCTAAATATTTTTTCGCATGCAAATGTTTTTTATTATAAAAAAATTTTAACAAAAATTCATATTTATTTTTTAATAATTCTTTAAATGTGTTGAAAATATAATTTTTGTATTTTTCAGAGGTAATTTGTAGAATAATTATTTCTGTTTACTTTGTTGTAAAAAGTTTTTTAAAGTTTCACACAAACTTTGTTCAATTTTTCGACGCCATTTTCGATGTTTCGATAGTTTTCAACAAGTTTAGTACAAATTATTTGTTTTTTAGCATTTTCATCATTTGTTGAATTTCGCGCTATACTAAAAATATTAATATGAATTAATATTTTTGTGTAGATATGTTATAAAACATGCTTATTCCTTTCATAACAACCAAAACACTCAAAATTATATATTATATTGTCATTTAGCACGGAAGACGATTAGGCTTTTGTAGTGATATTGATACTAATAGCTGATAAAGTCTGATCTTCTCTAAGATATCGCAGCTAATTTCAGTTCTTTTATTGATATTATATTTGCATATCACATTCAAAAACAACTCATTTATAAATTCTGCCAAAAAAATTAGACAAGAAATACAACTTTTGGATGAAAAGTAAGCACATCAGAATTATATATATGTATTATGCTGGCATTATCATTTGTGAATATATTTTAATTTGAGTATATTTCACTTTGTCAAAATCTTTTTGGGAAGTAAAAGCAACGCATCGTTTTCGACAAGAGTTAGCTGTCTTTTAGATCACCAGACAAGGATTATTAGTCCGAACCGGTGGCTATTAATATCATAGAATAGGTAGAGAAGTTACTGAATAGATTAACTTCAATACAAGACTTTAGCAAAGTAAAACACGCTCATATTATATTCTCAAATAATAATATTTGTGCAAAAACGTTTTAATTATTGAGATTTCGAACCAATAAATGCAAATTTTTTCACTTGAAAATAATATAAACTTGCTAGAATTAATGCCATGAGTTTAAAAAAAAATTGTTTCCAATAAATTATGATTTTATCGTATTTAGGTCTGTATTTATTCCTAAAAAGTTTAAAAATTGGCAAAACGTTGTACAATATTAGCACTTGCCTATCAGATGGATGAAAATTGATTGGAGATTCTGAAGGCAAACTTTGTGTGTGTCTGCAGTGATGTTCCAAATCATATTTCATATTTCCAAAAGTATTTTCTTGTGCGGATGATGAACTTCTGCAGTTTTTCATTCAAAAAGTTTCGAAGAGCAATTTAATTATTATGACTGTGCGATCCAAACTGCGAAGTAATTGAAAAGGATATTCAATTCATTCGCTTTTTATGCAAATATTAAGTATTATAATTTGTTTGATAATCTCATCAGATTTTCAAGATAGACTTTCAAATTTAAAATACATTGTGTTGTTCAATTCCGACAAAGGAAGAACTATGGAATTATAAATGTTTATATTAGTTACCTGTTGAGGTGTGGCGTGAAATCTGCGTGATTATCCGACTTAAGCGAAAGATTAAAAAGTCGTATCTCATTTTTTTCTTCGTCGTTTATTGTTTGAGTTGTATTAATAGCATTTTTGGCTTCAGTCAAATTTTTAAAAGCATTTCTCAGCACAGATGTATTTATTGGTTCAATCTTTTCCTCCAAAGTTGGCATCATTAAGCAAGCTCCCTCACGTAAACGACCAAACTGGTTACGCTGGGGAATTAAGCCTGGCTGGCAAAGTTCAGCTCCTCTTATTGATGACTTTTCGTCACTTCGTGACTTCTGACTTTGTAGTTTGCTTAACCGCGAACCTTCAAAGCTATTTTCTGCTGAGTCTAAGAATGGCTCACAAGATGATAGTGATGATGTAGCCGATGTCCTCTGCAAAAGTATTTCTGATTATTAAAAATGCAATTTTAAATTCCAAATTTCATTTATCGGTATAATGATACTTTGCAAACTTTTAAAGCTTTTTTCAATTTAACTTTTGGATTTTAAATATTCTTGTATCTGTGATTCGATGAACCTAACGAAATTTTCCAATATCATACATTTGTAAATGTGAAGAAAATATTTTAAATTAAAAAAAGACCTTTTAACAAGAATATGAAATATGGAAACTTACTTGATTACTTTCACCATTAGAATCGTTTAAATCGGCTACAATGCCAGATGACGAAGGCGATGAAGAACCCAAATCCTCATTTGGAATACCGACTGTGTTGACTACGACACTGCTAGATTCAGATTCATTCGATGAGCTTCCAATTTGAGTTTCTGAATTTGTTATCGGTTCCATTCGTTGCAATTCGTGTGCTTTCAGCGGAAAACTTTTAGTAAGTTTGACTGATTCTTCTTCCGGCGTATTTCCTGAAACGCTAGTTTGGAAGGAAGATTTCAAAAATTATTTTTACATTGCGAAAATGCACATTTTTAATAAATAACAAATGTTCTAAGAATTTGAAAATTTTCTGTAATAGTTAATTTGCAGTAGAATTATTTTTAAAATCCAAAATTATTCCAATCTCCAATCAGTTCTAAAATTTATGCGTTTTTTTAAATATTTGCTCATATTAAATTCAGAGTTATTAAAAATAAGGCCAATAACTCAGTTGGATATAATTTTTTAAATTTGAATTTAAGTTGAATAAATTATTGATATAAGTAAAGGAGATGAAATTAATTTTGTATTAGTGATAG